CGGGGGTGCTGTGCGACCTCCAGGCCAGACTCAGATGGCAAAGCAAAGCAGCTGCCACCATCAGGCCCATTTCCCACAGCCCACAGCCTGGCCTGGGGGTTATTAAACTGTTAGCACGGCACAGCCATCGTCACACAGCCGACCCACACTGGCAAGCACGACCCTTGCTCCTTCATCTCCCAAAAGGGAGCACCTTACAGCACCAGGACGTGTAATTCAAACCCCCAGTGTCCGAGGATCTAAGAATTACAGTGTCTTTGCAAGAGGAATTTGCCCTTTAAAACTACGAAAAGTGAACTGGTTCCAGGCCCCCATAATTAAATCCTTGATGACCACCGTGAAACATTTCTCTACCTAACCTGTCAGATAGGAAGGATTTCTGGTTTACATCTTATTCTGCATTAACTGGGGAGGGAGGGGACAACACCTAAGCCAGGGCTCTTGGTAGGGGTATTTCTTGGGGACCTCGTAACCTAGGATACAACCTCAGTAAAATGCTCTCCTCCGAGCTCTGATGCAGCCAGACCTGGTTCGGCTTATGTTAGCAAAAGGGATCGCAGTTCAGCACGCCTTGCACGTGGAATGCGAATGGGGTTTATTTCCTTAAATGTTCTGTAAAGTGGAGTGGAAGGAAACGGGTTCCAGCTGTCAGATATTCATCTCCTGGCGAGGTTTCCAGTCTGAGTCTCTGGTTGTTTACAAACAGCTCCTTAGTACCTGCTCACAGATCCGTGCCGGGCAGTGGTATCACAGAGAAGAAATTACTTTGCAAATCCGGTTCTCAGACATAAAAAGGTGTTTTAAAAGCCTCCTGCTGCACATTTTGAAAAATTGTTAATAGGAAATAGGAGCATTCAAATGTATTTAATCTCTCTTAAATATTTAAGACTGTGATACTCACATGTTGGGTGTTTTTTTCTCTGCTTCCTTTTTAAGAGAAAGGTGATGCTGAGCCCGAGAGTCCAGACAATGGCACCTCGAATACATCGTAAGTCTCTTTCCTCTTTCTGTTCGTGATGGCGGTTCTTTAATGTGCCTGTAATACGAAACAGTGCAAGTGCCGTGTAGCAGTAATAATAATAATGGGAGGAGGGCCAGTTCTCCTTCTCCTGATAATGTCTTTTTAAATGCTCTGGGTGCACACGCATTTGGAGGTCTTTCTTGTGCTTTAACACAGAAAGAATAATATCGAAAACACAAGTGCTCTTCTTCGGAAAGTCCAGGTGTAATGAGATGGGAGGGCACATACTGGTGGCAGAGGAGCGGGCAGCCTTTTAGAATGTGTTTGAGACTTTCGTCGTCACTGTTGTAAATAATGTAGAACTTGGCTCACCTGTGGGAGGCATTGTCCCACACACCTGGGAGGGACCGATGTCATTCAAAACGTCTGCCATCTGCACCCTCCCCTCGGAACTGTGTGAAAAATACAGATATCTCAGGAATCTCACGAGTTTGCTGATGTTTTTGAATTAACAAAAGCATTTTTTAAAAGAGAAGAAAAGGCCCTTAGAAAGAGCACGTTCCTCACTTTGCATGTTGCTTTTTTCCTCTCGGTGCTCAAGGAATCCAAAAGTGTTAATGATTCATTTGATACCAAATGTATACACCAAAGTTTAAATGAAATAATTCAGGAGCTAACAAATTATTTTAGGAATCACATTTGCTCTTTGAAAATCTTTAACTCTGAGGGGGAACACGGTTTCCTTATTCCTATATGGTTTGTGAATTCATCTTTATGTGGATCAGCACTCTTACTACTAAGCATTTAAAATGCGACTCAGTAGAAATCACAGTTTGTGATATAATATTATTGAGTGTCTTAGTTTGTCTAAGATCTGTTTCTCAATCTAGAAAAACCCTTCGGCTTCCCTTACACACAGGATGGCTACATATTTCATAAAGGATGTGATTATATGTTGTGTTCCTGAAGATGTTACACTAAAAGTTCTAAACAGTTCCATTGCTATGATTTCTGATGATATATAGTACATTGATTAGTTTTAAATGGTTAAAATATCACTAGCTTTAAAATTTTTATGCTGCAAAATATAATGGGAAAAGGGTTTTAATGCCATCTGGAGGCATTCTAGAGAACTGAAATGGGTAGAATCATTTAAAAATTTGGTTCTTTTAAATAACATTTGAGACTGGATGCGAATTTATACAACTAGAATGTAAGCGATTTAGGAGTAAGTTGTATTTTTATAAATAATTTTATAAAAGTGGTAATTATTGCAGAGACAGTAATTTTTTAAATTTCTCATTTAAAAAATATCATTTAAAAAACAAAATATATTGGAAAACTGCTAACATCCTGCATTTAATTGTACAAATTTTAAATCTCAGTCAGTAGACACCAGTTTTGTTAATGCAGTTTGATGTACCGTGAAAGTTCTTCTTCCCTTATGCATTCCTAAAAAAATCCTATTCTTTAAGGGACTTGATTTCCACACCTCAGTTCCTTGGGAAATGTGTTGTCTGAGTTGTTCTGTTAAATTCTGTTATCGCTGGCGATCTGAGGACGGGGAACGCTGGGAGCATCACCCCACACTCCTCTCTCCTCGCGCAGAGCAGTTGCTTAGCCATCGGCCTCACCCGCCTCTTGAACTAGGAATAGCAGAACTAAGCTGAGGTTGCAAGGATCTCTGGTAAAGTGGAGGATTCTGAACGTGGGCCCCTGGAGGAGCTCGCCACCCGGAGTTCTGTAGGAATTAGGCCAGAGGAGCAGCGTGTATGATTGAAGAGCCAGGACTCGGCATGTTACATTCCCTGTCGGTACCTTGTCTGGGCTTTATTTAGGTGGGCAGGGACAATATCCTTACTTAGTCTAGAACAAGCATGTCAAACTCGCGGCCCGTGGGCTGCATGCGGCCCACAACGAGTATTTATGTGGCCCCAGCCAATATAACGGTATGTAAGAAACATGTTAGTAAAATTTCGTAACTTAATGTTTATAATATCCTGTTACATGTAATTATTAATAACGAACTACAACATTCGCTAATGACTGATTACTATAATCGTGTAGCATTCATTTCCTTTATGTGCCTTATGCGCAGGCGCACCATTTCTCTCCACTAATCCTAGCAGTGATTATTTTAGCAGCTGATGGCCATGTCATTAGTCTTGGACTAACTTGTTTGGTGTGCGCAACAGGAAATATTTCACTTTGAGAGAACAAAAAAATAGGTTTATATGTGTTACAATTATTAATTTGTGAAATTATTCAGTATCTGGTAAGTTAATGTTTAAGAAAAAAACATTAATTTTTATTAAAATGTTCTATTATTTTATGTTAACTATTACTCATTTATTGCAGCCCTTTGTATTCAGCATGTCTCTATTGAAATAAACCTACATTTCTATGAAAATTGAAGCTTTTGTCTTTTTACAGCCCACATAAACTTCAACCTTGCTTATTTGGCCCATGTTAGCCTTTATGTTTGACATGCTTGTTCTAGAACAGTGGTTCTCAACCTTGGCTGCACATTAGAATCACCTGGGAATCTTTTTAAAATCCTGATTTCTGGGCCTCATCCTCTCGGGCCATATGCAAATACAAATATTGTATTTGTTCCTGTTTTGTTTTTTTACTTCAAAATAAGATATGTGCAGTGTGCATAGGAATTTGTTCATAGTTTTTTTTTTAAACTATAGTCCGGCCCTCCAACGGTCTGAGGGACAGTGAACTGGCCCCCTGTTTAAAAAGTTTGAGGACCCCTGTTCTAATGTGCAGCCAAGGTTGAGAACCACTGGTCTAGAAGGATCAGAAAAGCCATTCAACTTAAGTAAAAAAAGGTTATAAATTTTTGGATATTTTGCTTTTTTGCCCATTAACCCTACTAAGGAGTCAGTGGATCTTAGGAGACAAAGTAAAGCCATGAGTCAGAATCAAGTAGAAAAACTGGGGTCCAACTATTTGTTAAGTGGTTAGTGTGTTAGTTTGCTGGGGCTGCTAAGTCGCAAAGTACAACAGACTGGGTGCCGTAAGCAACAAAAATGTATCATCCCATGGTTCCGGAGGCTGGACGTCCAAGATTGGTTTCCTCTGGGAGGGAAGGACGTGTCCAGGCCTGCTGACTTGTTCTGCAGGTGGACTCTCCTCCCTGTGTCTCTTCCTCTTACCTTCCCTCTTGTGTCTGTTTCCCCTTTTTATAACAATGCCTGGTATCTTGGATTAGGGCCCACCCTACAGGCTTTGTTTAATCCGATTACCCCCTGTAAAGCCCCTGTCTCCCAGTAGTCTCATCCTGAGAGGTTAGGACTTCAACATATGAACTGGGGGAGGGGAGGAATTCAACTCATAACATTAAGGGTCACAGTCATCAGAATGATTCCGACGCCAGGTTGGCAGCAGCAGGTGTGCAGATGCCAGGAGATAGAACAAGGGGAGAGAATCTCAGTAAAACAGACCAGAAATGATGAGCTCATGGGAGCTGAGGGATGAAGCAGAGCAAAGAACACTGCAGATAACACACACACGGGGCACTAGGAAAGGCATCATTTTCACACCCGTGATCTGGGGAGAGAGACATGGCTTTAGTAATGGCTGTATATCCCTCTGTCTGTGCAACTCCATGACCCTGGGAGTCACTTAAAACCATCATATGGATTTAAATTGAAGTATAAAGTTGGGAGCCTCCAGACAGAGAGCTAATTTCCTAAAAAGGAATCTTTCCTCACTGGAGGTGAAATCAGCAGAAAATTCATCATGTTAAGTTTTAGTCAGTCATTGCCTGATAGGACAGAGTAGCTGTGTAACACCCAAAGATCCCTTCAGGAGGTATTATCCAATGATACTCTGAGTATTCAGAAAGATGAAATGTGTAGTATATTCTTAACACACACAAAACACCAAAAGTTAGAATCTCTGTCACGTACCAATAATGTTAATGATGGGAGACCTTATATTGGATTAATACTCCTGCAGAGAATTAACTATTAAAAAATCCTGGACAAAATATTTTTTAAACTGTTAGAAAGCAGAAAATGTTGGTAATTTGATCCTTGAAACAAGAACATTGGACGGGTGAGATCTACATTTATACAGCTTCTCCCCTAAGAGTACTCCCCAATCCATATAGGACAGTGATTCTCAACCTTCTGGCCCTTTGAATACAGTTCCTCATGTTGTGACCCAACCATAAAATTATTTTCGTTGCTACTTCATAACTGTAATGTTGCTACTGTTATGAATCGTAATGTAAATATCTGATATGCAGGATGGTCTTAGGCGACCCCTGTGAAAGGGTCGTTCGACCGCCAAAGGGGTCGCGACCCACAGGTTGAGAACCGCTGATATAGGACAACAAGAACTCAAAGAGAAAGCCACAGTGGTATTGGCAGGTAGTGTCGGAGGATGGAGCTCAGGGCTGCTGAAGTGACAAGACAATGTCAGGAGAATGAGAAGGCTCACAGAACATGTTTGCCAAGGCCACGTCTGATAAAGGACTGACATCCAAAGCAAAGAATTCTTAAAACTCAACAGTAAGAAAACAACCCAAAAGTGGGCCAAAGAAGGTACCCGACATTTCACCAAGGAAGAAATACAGATGGTGAATGAATAATCACATGAAAAGTTGCTCCACATCATATGTTATCAGAGAAATGCCAATTAAAACAGTGATATGCCACTATTACAATCGCCAAAACACAGACAGCACCAAATGCTGGCGAGGATGTGGAGCAACAGGAACTCTCAAACATTGCTGGTGGGAACTCAAAATGTTAAGGCCACTTTGGAAAACAGTTTGATGGTTTCCTACAAAACTAAATATACTCTCGCCACATAATCCAGCCGTTATGCTCCTTGGTATATACTCTTTGGGTAAAGCTGCTGAAAACTTATATACACACACAAAATTTGCCTCCCTTTAAAAAAATAAGAAATAAAAAACAAATTTACAGAAAGGATAAATATTTGTGTGGCAGCTTTTCTTCCCTATAATGATAATAATTAGCATGTTTTGAGCCATTATGTTGTCCACG